GTGTGTGTGTGTGTGTGTGTGTGTGTGTGTGTGTGTGTGTGTGTGTGATTGACATTCAAAATGATTTTCAAATAGTATCTTTGAAATGTATAATTATATCTTTTCTATATTTAATATGATATGCACTATAATGACACACATATTGCAGTAACCTTGTAAGACATATTTTATTAGTTATTAATTCTCTCAAATATGAAGTGGCCTCCTTAAAAAAAAATCCGTCACTCACCGTGTAATTTTTTTTTCTAGTCACTAAATTTTAAGTGGCTTTGGGTGTTAATATTAAAGATTTATTATTATTATTATTGTTAATGATTTTTATTATATATTTGTAATTATAATAATTATTTTTGTTTGTGCATTAAACTTCTCAATTATTGATGTTCTCCAAACTGAATGGTTGTTTTTGTATTTATTATATAATTTGCTTTTTAAACCAAATATTTGGCTAGTTAGATGATTAAGCCTAAATTTGAATGACAACATATCATCCTAATATAATTAGTTATTACTAATTACTCATAGGTAAGCTCATAAATAAATAAATAATATATCCTGTAAATATACGGACTAAACGATTTCATTGGCTACACTTCATTCATATGACTTCGTTTAATTTTGAAAATAAAATCTTTCTTAAATTTAAGTTCTTGATCTGTAACTATTTGTATAAACCAAAAAAGTAAATCTATATATTATTGTAAAAAATCTAATTCTTAGTTAAATTTTTATTTTTTTTTAAATCTATATTTTTGATTTAATTAGAAAAAAATATATGTATAAAAATCTTTTTAAATATTCTTACGTATAATAAAAATTATTAAATATAAAAAAGCAAGATAATTGGTAATTTTATTCCGGTCATCTAAATTTCAATACTTAAAATAATATAAATAAAACAATTTTTTCTACACTTGCTTAAAATAACTCATTACCTATATATTTTATAAATACGATTTTTAGGTAAATATTATGTTTCTGGCAATAAAACAGACTCTTTAAATTAAATATTTAAATACCTATAAAAACTATACATTCTTATAGTCTAAATATTATAATGTATATATACTTTTTTACATTTAGCAATCGAAAACCGGGGTTGCACTAATGTTAATTATTTTACCTCTATTAATATTGTTTATTCAATTAAAAACGAGTTACTTTCTATGATCACAAATGTCACCTTAATCATTTATTTAAGTAAACTCAACTAAACTATGGTTGTCGCTATTCTGTCAAGTATTAGAACCTTGCTATAATGTTATTATCAAACATAATTTAAAAACATAAAAATAAAAAGATATTCAAATACATAATAACTCATTCTTGAGTTAAATTTTGTTTTTAAATTAACAGTTATTGCATGGTTACCTATTTTTCTTCAACTGTATTAAAAAAAATACTAGAAGACGGTGCATATTTATATAACTATCTCTATGACCTATGCCTATGAAGAAATGATTTATTGAAACGCTCTTAACTATGACCTTCTATAGAGAATTTTATTTGACCTTCGTTTATAATATTTCGTATTTTAGCCATTTCGTTGGCTAGTTAATATTCAGAACTATGAAATTTTTTTTTTTTTAAATCATCAATCATGGAGAAAATCGATATAAAATAAGTATAAAATATACAAAAACTGTGTTCGAAATATTAAATGATCGTTTTTTATAATATGTAATTATAATAATAAATAAAAACTATTTAAAATTGACTATATTGTAAAGTTAATTTATTTCCATCAAATGATTTTACAGTAGTTGGAAAAAAAGTGACAGAATCATAAATAAATAACATCATACGTATAAAGTTAATACTGAATAAATAGATACCACCTATTAATATTATT